CATTTTTAGCAGCCACATTCTTCAAGCATATTCCCCTTTTAGAAACCAGTCACAGCACCCAAATCTGCCATTCTTCTTCTTCATGCCCTTTTTCAGTTTCTTGTTCTTTTTGTTGTTTTCCTCACGTCTTCCCGGTGGCCTGCACGTAAACACGTAAATGAGTTTAGACAAAAACTCCAAGAATTTGGAGAACACAACGAGGCAATTGATTGGTGAAGCACTACTACGTCATTGCAAAGAGAATCCTGAAATTCCGTCTCAGGGATGATGGAATCGTAAAGAAAGTAATCAGATTCCATGATTTCAGGCGGAGATGTATAGATCTGGGAGAGGAACGATTGTAATCTAGGGATTGGGAGAGAAGAAGAACCGACAGAGAGAGAGAGAGTAGATTAGATCTAAAGAGGGGCGAGAGAGTTTAATTGGGGAGGTGGGCGGTTGGGTAGATAGGAGGAGTGAATGTGAGATATTAAATGAGAGGGGTATTTTAGGGAGAATATAGGAAAAAGCGTACAATGGGAACATCATTCCCGGACGGAGAAAAACGTACAATGGGACTATCATTCCCGGACGGAGGGAGTATTAATTATTCATTCTTACCAAAATCGTGTATAAGGTTATTATTCAATTTAAAATCATTTTTTTAAAATACACACGAAGTTAAAATGAAACATTGTACTATGTTAATTAATTTTTTATAATGATGTATCATAAATTTAGTATACCTTTAATTACGTTTTTATACACACATTACATCTTAATTTGTAAATATATGTTAATTACGTTTTTGATGTTACTTACCATTTCAATATTTTATTTTATTACACACCTTTTTGGTGTTACTTACCATTTATGTGTTTTTTAATCTTAATTTATAAATATAAATTACGTTTTTGGTGTTGATGGATACCCGGGAATGAGGGTATCCAGCCCAGCATGAAGACGGCCCAGCCCAACTTCGCCAAGGCCCACTTGGCGGGACCAAGGCAAAGGACCAGGAAAGAGCGCCTCGGCAGTACCGCGCATTCGGCCCCAGCAGGGTCGGTCATCCTCGGAGCAACCAAGGCCGGCCTTCCATCCAGAGGTTTCCGAAGACAGGTCAGGCGCTCGGCCTCGCCCCTTAGCAGCGACAGACCAGACCTAGACAAGGGAGCTGACTGAAGTCAGGATCAAGGGGCCCGCGATTAGACTCCTGCCATGCCTCTGGCAGAGTTGCTATGGCCACCCTACTTGTAACCTACTTTGTGTAGCAATCCTAGGGTTAATTATGTGGTTGGACGCCGCTAGTGAACAACCCAATCTTAGTGGGCCCAGACCGTTGGATTACGGACCAACGGTCGGAACCCTAGCTGTAACTTCTAAGTAATACTCTTACTAGCACACCATACTTTGTGCACTTGACTTAGTTCGATACTCATCCGCCTAGTTACCTAGGCCCCCGGGTTCCATAACCCAACATTGGTGCTCTCGTTGAGAGTGTCGAACACATCAAGCGTGCTCCAAAGAAAATGGTTGCGTCAAGGAGAGTGACTAGGTCATCGACCGCCAATGTCGGTGGTGGTCTCAGGATGACCGTTACGGCGCCGACCGGCGCAGGTCCCGATGAGTTGGACATCAGCCTCAATGACGTCGCCAGCCAAAACACCATCGATCTGCGTCATCGCATTCCCAAGCGGCGAACGACGAACGCTGGGGGGTCTCAGGCGCCAACACAGCAGGTGCCCACCCAGGGCGCCGGCGTTCTAACCCAGCCTTCTCCCAACGGGCTTGTGTGTGGGGGAGGCATGGTGTTGCCCGGTGATTTCAACTCACCATTTTTCCAGTTCGGGGAAACCTCTGGTGCGAGGACCCCAGGTCCAGACCCTAGCGGTTTCTGGGCCATGATGAGGGCGATGATGCTCAATCAGCCCATGACCGGTTTCCACATACCGGTCACGATGCCGCAGCCAACGTTCCAGCCTGACGGACGTCGTGAGATCCAGCAGAACGTGGTGGAAAGTGCGGAACTTTTCGCCCAACACCTGAAGAATCTAATGGCAAACTCCCGCCTGAATCCTTCGCCCGGGGGACCCGAGAACAGGGAGTTGAGCCGGTCCCAGCAACGGGACAAGGGCAAGGGCCCGGAGCGCAGGCCAACAAGAAGCAAGCTAGCCGTCGGGACAAGGAGACGGCGAGCAAATGTTGTGAACCCCTGAAGGAAGGACAAGGTGAGAGTGAGTCGCACGTATCTGTGTTCAGCCGGATGCGAGTGCCGGTCACGGAACGGCGGTATGGCCGACGGAATACCTTCCTGCAGAACGAAGTGGGGAAGATCAGGATGCCCTGCGAGGAACAGTGTGACCGACACAGAGAGGTCCATCCGGAAAGGCCAGATTCCCGGGCCAAGCAACCCGTCCAACATCCGGCCTTGAGAGCGCCGCAAAGGACGCCCATCGCGATGGATGTAGGCATGGGCAGATCTGGGGACGAACGCATCGATTTTCTCTTGCAAAGGCTGGATGCCTTAGAGAAAAGAAGCGGGCCGGGGCAGGTGGCCGAACCCATGTTCAGACTCTGTTCTCCTTTTTCGGAAAGGATCTTAAGAGCGCCACTGCCGAGCAGCTTCCAGATGCCCCCAATACCAAGGTATGACGGAACTACCGACCCGCAGGAACATTTCAACCGGTACCTAACCCTCATGAACGTGGTGACGTTCTCCAAGGAGGTCCTTTGCAGGTCGTTTCCCGCCACTCTCGACGGGCTGGCGTCTGAGTGGTTCAATGAACTGCCTGAAGGGAAGATCGATTCATGGGAGGATTTGGCGCGAAGATTCTTGGTGCACTTCGCTGGCAACAGGAAGAAGAAACTGCAATTTTCACACCTCTTGTCGGTCAGACAGCGACCCGACGAGCCGCTGAGGGAATTCCTGGCAAGGTGGAAGCTGGAGACCACCAGAGTTTACGGAGCGGATGACAAAACCAGGTTATCCACCTTTCATTTGGTCTTGCGATCGGTGGACTTCTCCAAGCGTCTGGCCTTGGAGAAGCCGAGGGAGTATTCCATCGCGCTGGCCATGGCGGAGGATGAAGCCGAAGTAGAGGAGTTGGAGGCAAACAAGAAGAAGGAAGAAGCAGGGAGGTTTGGTTCCAGCGTAACGGCGGTGAAGCCTACGCCGAGGAAGGTCACCATTGATGAACGGCCACACTTGCCAGTCGGACACCGCTTCCGTAAGGGTAGAGACCCGCGCGACCGACGATCGCATGGAAAGGATATATATGAAGAAGGGGGTGAGGACAGGAGGCCATATCCCCCCAGAGGTCCCAAGTTGTTGTTCCCCAATGAGCTTACGCCGCTTACACATCCCGTAAGCGCCATCCTGGATTTCACCGAGCATCAGGGCTTGGTGGAGTATGACCCGCGATTCCCTCCGATTTGCACCGTCAGTGAGGGTCCTTACTGCAGGTTTCACAGAGCAGCTGGTCAAGACACGGACGCGTGTAAGGTCCTCAAGAGGGAGATCGAGAACCTGATCCAGGCGGGATATTTGCGGCAGTTTGTCAAAAAGAAGAACACATGGCGCAAGGACGACGGAAAGAAGAGCGGGGACAACCGAGGGAAGAAACCGGCGGGAACTCAGCAGAAGAAGAGAAAGAAGATAGGCCTGCCGAGCGATGAGGAAGAAGAAGACAATCCTAGGCAAAAGAGGATCGAAGAGAGCCGGATGATCTACGGTGGCAACACTGGAGGGGACAGTGCTGAACAAAGGAAGAAGTGGGTGCACTCGGCCTACGTCGGAGACGTTCGTAGTACGCCTGGACCGTCGAAGGTCGCGAAGACAGAGCCCCTCCTGTTTGGTCCAAAGGACCTGCCTGAGATCCCATCGCCCCACAGAGACGCCTTGGTCGTCAGGTGCGAGATCAACGAGGTGGTAATCCACCGATCCTACGTTGATAATGGGAGCTCGGTCAATATCATGTATGTAAAGACATTTGAGGAGCTGGGATTAAAGAAGGAACTCCTGAAGAGAGTAAAGACTCCCTTGTCCGGATTCACAAGAGACATCATCGATTCAGAAGGATTGATCGAGGTGATGGTCACCTTTGGCGATGGAGAGCACAAGAAGACCATTCCGGTCGAATTCATGGTAGTGCGACTCCTGGGGTCCCACAATCTGATTCTGGGTCGGCCTGCACTGGAAGATCTCGATTCCGTAACGTCGGTGAAGTATCTAAGCATGAAATTCTCTACCGACTCGGGAATCGGAGTATGCAGAGGAAACCAAAAACTCGCCCGACTCTGTTACCAGAAGCAGACAAAGAAGATGGACGCTCAGGACCTCCGAGTGGACAGCATTGCCACGACACTCTTGAAGGAGGAAGAAGGCCGTCCTCGAGCTGAACCAGCCGAGGAGACAGAAGATGTGGTGATAATGGAGGAGCAGCTGGAGAAAAAGATCAAGTTCGGTATTAACATCAGTGTCGAGCTTCGGTCCAAGATTATACAGGTACTCAGGGAGAACTTCGTGGTGTTTGCATGGAGTGTCGAGGATATGCCGGGAGTTAGCAAATCCCTAATCACTCACCGCCTCGCGGTCGGATCGGACGCGGAGCCCATAAAGCAAAGAAGGCGACACTTGAGCAAAGACCGGGGGGATTTCGTGAAGAAGGAGGTAGACATGCTCCAAGCAGCGGGGCATGTCAAGGAGATCAAATACCCCACCTGGCTGGCCAACGTCGTGCTGGCACCGAAGGGGCAGACGTTCAGGATGTGTGTGGATTACTGATAAGTCGGGTTTGGTTTGGTTCTTTTTATTCTATTTTATGCATTTTTAATATTTTTAGTCTTTAATTTTTAGTTGTTTTAGATTAGTTTTATTTTAATTCTTATTTTTAAATTCTTTTTATTTTCTTTCAAAAATATTAGCTTTTTAATCAATTTTACATTATATTATTTTTATTTTATTTTTCCTAACCCAAATTATCAGATATCTTATTTTTGAAGAAAATTGCAGCAAAAGGTTGAATTGAAGTTCAAGTTTGAAAAAAAGAGATTGATTTTGGGCCAAAGCCCAGAAACAAAACATAATAGAGAATCAGCCCACCAATCATCTCACTTTGTCTTCACGCAAGAAAGAAAAAAAGAACGGAGAATTGAAGTCTACGACTTCTTCTTCTTCGCGATAAACCAGCGCCCAGCTTCTTCAACGCTCCTCCGTCAGTTTCGCCTCAATGAATAGCAACGGCACTCTCTACTCACTCAAATCTACAACGGTAAACAATCCTCTTGCTATAAATTGATGATGATTAAAGCTTCAGAGAAGGGGGAACGAACCAGAGAGCTCCATTCTTCAATTTCTTCATCTTCTTCTTCTATAGGTACCCAAATAAATTGGCTTCCGGACTTAATCCGGAAGTCAACCCTTTAAATTTTCAATTCTTTTGTTGTTTCTATGTTCAAGTGTTGTTTTTTTTCCAATTTATCACTTTTTTTTCGTTACTTGTTCATGTAAAAAAATCTGGCAAAAAAATATAACGGTTGGTGTTCTTTTGGGTGTATGTTCTTGTTTTAAATGTTCATATATAATCCCTTATGAATGAGAATTGATTCTTTCTTATTTACTTCAATTATTGCACGAGTTGTTGTTAAATTGGTTGAATTGTTTCAAATTCATAAGTAGGTTTTATGTAGAATTCGGTTTTTGTTGAAGCTATTTTAGCTCCATAAGATAGTTAAATAAACTCCGAATTCATACGTGTTTCTTTGTTGTGCTTGTGTTCGTTGATTTTAAGGATTTTGGACTTCTTAGCCCCATAAGTTGATTCATTTTCCTTAGAATTCGTTATAAAGTGATTTTGTTAGGTTATATGTTTGTTTTCCATTTTCTTTAAATTGAGATTGTTTAAGTGCAATAAACAATTCTTGATCTATTGAAAATACGTTGTGTTTTTCTATGTGAATAGAAAAAACGTCATTGGTTTGAGAAGTTCATGGAAATCTGTGAAATGTGCTCATCATTAGGAGAAAAGGTTTATTAAAATGCATAAGGTATTGGCGGTTTGTGAATA